CATTGGTTTAAATGTGATGTTGTTATGTATGTTTACTACTGAGTATGGATGGATTATTTTCTCAAAACGCCTTGTGTAATCAAGTGAGGTTGACTCGCGGGTGACGTCACTTTATTATACGGCGGTTGTACACGCGCTCGGATTGCGGTCTGGGGCGTGACAGATTGATTACCGAAAACTAAATGATGCCACCCGGAAGGACCACTTCCCTTTGCCATTTATTGATCAGCTAGTTGAGAATTTAGCAGGGCACGAGTATTATTGTTTCTTAGATGGGATGACTTGGTACTTTCAGATTCACGTAGATCCTAGAGATCAGGAGAAGACCACTTTTACTTGTCCCTTTGGCACTTTTGCTTTCCATAGGATGCCCTTCGGTTTGTGTAATGCTCCTGCTACATTTATGCGTTGTATGCTAGCCATTTTTGACAGGTTTATTGGAGATTTCATGGAAGTATTTATGGATGATTTTTCTGTGTTCGGTGATACTTTTGACTCTTGCTTAACTAACCTTGACAGGGTGCTTGCTAGATGTGAGGAGACCCACTTGGCCTTAAGTTGGGAGAAATGCCACTTTATGGTCAGGGAGGGCATTGTTTTAGGGCATAAGGTTTCTGAAAAGGGAATTGAGGTTGATAAGGCGAAGGTTGAGGCTATAGAGAAACTTCTGTATCCAACAACAGTAAAAGCCATCCGTAGCTTTCTTGGGCACGCTGGTTTTTACCGCCGGTTCATACAGGATTTCTCTAAGATTGCCCGACGTTTGACTAATCTTTTAGGGAAATATGTACCTTTTGATTTTTCACGTGATTGTGTTGTTGCCTTTGATACTTTGAAAAGGAAATTGACTGAGGCTCCCATTCTTGCTACACCCGATTGGTCTTTACCTTTCGAGATACTGTGCGATGCTAGTGATCAAGTGGTTGGGGCTATCCTGGGTCAAACCAAGGATAAGCACTTTCGCCCTATCTACTATGCCAGTAAGACTTTAGCGGGGCCTCAACTCAATTATACCACTACTGAAAAAGAGTTTTTGGCTATTGTGTTTGCTTTGGAGACATTTAGACCCTACATCATTCTTTCTAAGGTAATTGTCTTCATTGACCATGCGGCTTTGAGGTATTTACTTCAGAAGAATGATGCAAGGCCTAGGCTTCTCCACTGGATTCTTTTGTTGCAGAAATTCTATGTGGAGATCAAAGACCGAAAGGGGACTGCTAACCAAGCAGCAGATCATCTATCTAGACTAGAGACTGGAGTGGTGGAGACATTCAAAAAGTTTGAGCTTGAAGAGACTTTTCCAGATGAGAGGCTTCTAGCCATTCAACACAGTTCAAAGATGCCTTGGTATGCAGATCTTGCTAACTTTCTTGTGGGCAAAGTTGAACCTGCCGGGATGTCTCGCCACATGATTAAGAGATTGAAGTCTGAAGCCAAGCATTACTTCTGGGATGATCCATACCTGTTCAAAATTTGTGCTGACCAAGTTGTGAGAAGATGTGTACCTGAACAAGAAGGAAAGGAGATTCTAATGCATTGTCATACTAGACCCACGGGGGGTCACTTCTCAGGAGAGAGGACTGCCAGGAAAGTTCTTGATTGTGGATTCTATTGGCCCACCATTTTTAAGGATGCTCATGCTATGCTTCAGCTTGTGATCAGTGCCAGAGGACTAGGAACATATCCCGGAGGGATGAGATGCCACAACACTATATTTTGCCATGTGAAGTGTTCGATGTGTGGGGAATTGATTTCATGGGCCCTTTCCCGAGTTCGAAAGGGAACAAGTTCATAATAGTTGCTGTTGATTATGTGTCCAAGTGGGTGGAGGCCCAAGCATGTTCCACGAATGACACAAAGGTTGTTGTCCGATTCTTAAAGAAGTTATTTGCACGATTTGGTGTTCCCAGAATCTTGATCAGTGATAGGGGCAGCCATTTCAGAAGTGACCCTATGGCCCGTATCCTTCAACGATATGGTGTTCAGCACAAAAGCGGAGTGGCCTACCATCCCCAGTCTCAAGGCCAAGTTGAAAATTCAAATAGAGAAATCAAGGCAGTATTGGAAAAGACAGTTGGTCGGTCAAGAAAGGACTGGGCTGAAAAGCTTGATGATGCTTTGTGGGCTATTCGAACAGCATATAAGACTCCTGTTGGCGCCACACCATTCAGGTTGGTTTATGGAAAATCATGCCATCTTCCAGTGGAGGTCGAGCATAAGGAAGTTTAGGCTCTGAAGAATGTTGTATTTGACCTTGAAGGAGCTGGAAAGGAGAGATTTTATCAGCTGAATGAGCTTGAAGAGTGGCGTGCTATGGCCTTCCACAACAACCATTTGTATAAGGAGCGAGTGAAGCAATATCATGATAGGCACATCAAGCAGTCCCGCGAGTTTAGAGTTGGAGATCAGGTGCTGTTGTATAATTCTAGGTTGAAGTTGTTCCCTGGGAAACTGCGTTCCAGATGGTCAGGGCCATTTACTGTGACTGAGATCTATCCGTATGGCACCATTGAGTTGCATGATCCTGCAAGGGGAAACTTTAAGGTTAATGATCATCAAGTGAAGCTCTATTATGGTGAGAAAGTGAGCACTGAAAGGGAGGTTCTTTATCTTAAGGAGATTAGCGGCTAAGCATGATCTATCGTCAAGCTAGTGACGTTAAAGAAGCGCTTCTGGGAGGCAACCCATCATAAAAAACCATAAAAAATAGAATTAGGAGTTTATTATTCTTTTATGCATTTTTGTTTCCGTTTTTTTTTGTTTTCATCTTGTTGTGTGGTTGGAGTTCTTTGCTTTGAATTGCAGGTGCAGCATGATGATCGTAGACTGATGTGGATGAAGAAACGCAACCCTATGTTGATGGAGCTCCTCATAGCCGCGAGCTGCAGTTTACTTCACAGTTGGCCCGAGAGTGGTATGAGAGCTGGACACAACTTCAAACACTTGCAGGGTTTAATGGTTAGAGAATTACACATGTTCAAGGAGTTGGGGTCTCTCTGGACAGAATATTGGTAGCCGCTGAGGAAGATTTTGGCAGACTGAGGGAGATTCTTGATGATGCCACATGCTGACTTTTTTGGATTAGAGCAACTGGCCTTTGAGGTGCAGACAGAGGAGTTCCAGTATCTCTCTTTCGGAAGGAAAGCAAAATTTGGGCTGAGTACCTTCTGGGAACAACATTCTGCACAGGAGACATAGAGTTTCAAGCTCCTTTTAGCTTGAAAAGACACGGGACCAGACCTGTTTAGCGGGTTCTCCACTTCATCATGAGGAGTAAACCTCCAGGGTAGCAGCCAGAACGCGAGCTAATCCATCGGGCAGCAGTTCACAGATCAAGTTAGGTCGTGGGTCATTACCTTGACCTGTTCTCTTCTCCCATGAATGAACTAGCCAGCCTCAGTATTCATCAAGTCATCAGAATGCTGGTTATGGCAGCTATTACTACACTTTCAAGATTGAAGGACTTCAAGTAGCATTATGGGGCAGACTGTGTGCAGGATTCAGCGGCATGTAAGCAATCGAGGAGCTATTTGATGCAGAGATTTGAAGTTATTTCGGAGGGTATTCATCAACGCTTGGCTTGTACGGTAATCTGCCAACTCCCACTACACTGCTAAAAATGTGTGTTTACTCTCATATTACTCCTTTGTTGATCTGTGTTGATTATTATTCTGATTATGATGTGCTGCCGGGCTGAAAATCATTTTATTAGTTAACTTGCCCCCTGCTATTTTTGCTTTTAAATCTTTTCTTTGACCTCGAGGGCGATGTCACCCCTAAGTGTGGGGAGGTTTGGTTTTAGCTTGGACATGACATTTGGTGATGAAGTTATTCTGCCCAAAAACACTTTGAGGTGCACGATGTTTTTTCTGGTTTAGCAACGCAACCGAGGTAACTTGTTAATCTTTATTTTCTTTTGTAAACTTCCATCTCCTCCATCTTTCTTGGAAAGATTTAGTAATAGTGTAATCATCGGAGTGGTGTATATATTCTTGGAAATGTTGGCATGTTGGATGGTTTGATTTGTGTTGATTAAATTCGGTTTTACTCGTGATTCACTAGTTCGCTTCACTAATTGCTTGACTGGCCAGGTGTTGAAAATCCTTACTCCATAAGGAGCTATGCTTTCTAAGCATATCGGGATGACTTCATGCTAAGCAGGTAACTGATTCTTGTAATGGGGTTACACTTCGTGTGTCGCGAATTTCATCCCCGAAATGGGGCTCTGCTCATCTCGCGAATCACCTCGTGTGAGAGTTGAGTACACAGTAATGAGATAAACTCCCAGGCCCTAGAGCTTGAATCAGTCCTGCAATCCAGAACCTGGTCAACTTTTCATATTAAAAAAAAAAGAATCACGAGTGTTCCGAGTTTTATCAAACAATTCTTGGGTTTTTGGAATGATTGGTGGTTTGAATTTCACACACCTACACCGTTGGGACCATCATGCTTTTCTTTACATTTTAGTCGGTTGGAGAGGGATTTTACTTTTGAAAATATAGTTTAACAGATGAATCTTGGTTTCGTTGTTAAGAAAGAAAAGATCTTGTGCAGTCATTTGTTTTGGGTGTGAATGATTTTTGAATTAGGTGTTATAGGTGATTATTTTGTTTTCCGTGGGATTAATGCACTGTTGCTTGGGGGCAAGTAACGCTCAAGTGTGGGGAGATTTGATAGGCTCGTTCCGTTCCTATCTTTTCACCTATACTTTGGGTGTTAATTGTCTAATTTTACAATTAATCGGGTGACTATTGGGGGTTTTGAGTGAAAATTTGTTATTTTTCGGTCCCGGTGGCATTTGCATTCGGTGTAGTATTTTTCTACATAGTTTGACATTTTTGGAGTAATTTGATTGTAAAATTACATGTTATTAGCAGTTGTGGTGAATTGTGATTTTACAGGCCGAATTTGTGGTGAATAATATATTGTTTGGGCCGAATCATTTGTGGGTTACTTTATTAAGTGAAGTCCAAAAAGCAAAAAAAAAAAAAAAAACCACTTTAGCAGCCCAAAAGAAAAGAGAAACGGATCAGCTGGGTTTTTTCCCTGGAACTGGCAGCCGCACATTCATTCATTCTTTCCTTTTCATTTTTTTTAAGTTAGCCGCAGCATGCTCTACGATTCTTTCTGTTCCTGAAATCAATTAGCCGCAACAGAGTTTATTTCCATTCTTGCGTTCTGTCCTTAGTGAATCAGCCGCACCAGCAAGAAAGAAAATCAGAACGGTTTCTAAACTGCACTCCTCTTTCAATTTTCTCCAAGTTAATTTAGATTTCAAACATTCATTGTAAGTCAAACATATTTTACATTACTTAGTTTCAGTTTTGAATTAACTTTCGAAGATGTTTTTCTGTAGTTGATAATTAAGAATTTCCCAGAGAATTATTCTACTTCAATTTTTCTAGCCCTTATCATGCTTATCAATATGATTGTGATGTTAATTTTAAGTATGAGTAACTAATTTCTTATAGGGTTTGAATTGGGGCTAGGGTTCATGGGTTCTTGAGGGTGTGAATGTAGTTTTTCTGAAATTCAATTAATTTTGTGGAAAATTGTATAAGATTAATCATAATTGCCTATATGAATTTGATCACCTCATATATGAATTTTGGATTTAATTCAATTCTTGTCTATGAGAAATTGAGTTAAATTAGCTCAGGTCTTATACAAGCAATCTGATCTTAGAAATAAGTTAGTATTGTAAAAATTTGATTTAATTCTTGTCTATGAGAATTTATTTCATTTTCTGTCCAGGAATAATTGAAAATTAATTAACTTAATTCTAATCCCGAAAGAACACCCAGAACCCGAACCATCCAATTCGAACCCTGTTTTAATATCTAGAATCAGTTTATTTATTTTTTTTACTCTATTTATTTTTTGCACTCGTTATTAATTAGTTTTATTTTCAAACCACTCAAAAAAAAAAATTTGGAAAGATTATCATGACTTGTGTTAGCCTGTGATCACGGACTGTATTTAAAACTTCCTTTTTGCCACTCCTTGAGAGACGATACTCGTGGTCTGGTTATTCTACGGATAAACCAACTACGTTTTACTCACTACAAGGAATCAGCTTTTGGTTTCAGCCGTGAAGGATCTACAATCTCATCCTTTGGTGAATCGAAAACTTGTTGTTCTGCGCAATTAGCAGCTGCGAGGAGACTAATCACTGTTTGCCGATTTCTTTAATTGAATTGAATTCTATGGATTTTATGAATCCTGTGAAATCCACAATCCTGCAAATTCATTTTAAATCCAAATTGGGGACACCCCCTAACTGATAGTTGGGAAATGCCAAAATAGCCTAAATCATTATGAACACCAAAATATAAGTCCTAAATCAGCAACTAATTTCTCTACTAGTATTCGGTGGAAGATGGCGACCCAGCGACTGTGCCTGCGAATGAAGAAAGAGGATCTCTGCGCTTGAAGCAACCCAGCTATCTCCTCATAAAGCATCTGGTTATGGTAAATCACTTTACTAAGACGCCATATCCTTGTTTATCATTTGTGTCGTTGTATATTTCATATTTCAGTATGTATTTAAGCCCGGCAAAGTTTAAATCATTGTATTACTCCGTATTTGTTTTGTGCTGTTTTTCATTTTCACATCTCCTTAGTTAATTTATCTCTATGGAGGACATGATTGACTACCTTTAAATTGACAGTTTTCCTCGGGATCATGAAAGTATCCTTATCCTTTTTAAAATTATTGAAAACTTTGTACTGATAATTTTTCATTTAGAAACAGGAATGTGAAATTTATATTCATTGTTCTAATGGTTTTTGAAATTATTGAACTTGGTATCTTTAGAATTTGTACTAAACGATTGGATTAAATTATTCTAATGAAAATTTTGTTTGGCTTGGTATCCTTAAGATTTCATACTAAATGATTGATTTACGTTCTTGTAATGAAAACATCGTTTAGGATCTGCACCTTGCTTTTACTACGTCCCTTGACTATTAATTGACCAGACCTGCCCCTGAACCTGGAGTGATCTATTTTAATTCTGGCGTTCTTCAATTTAAAAATAATTATAATGAACATATGAGCTTGCAAAAGGCTGTTGAGAGAATTTTAGTGTGTAGGACGGAGTACTGTTAATTTTCTTGATAATTTCTTTCAATTAAGAGCCCTTTTCGTGATCCTGTTTTTCGGATTATCAGCCTTATCAACCCATGTTTTCACCAAACAAATAACTTTTGATTTCATGCTCTGAGTTGTGTAGTAATCAAAATAAGTAAGGTTGAAGTTACTTTTCTGACTGAATTGACTGAAGTTACTGCATAAGACCAATTTAACTATTTTTTCATATCATTTTTTCTTTATTTTATTAATAACATTTATCTTAAATATATATTTTTCATAAATCAGCAAAACTTCGTAAATTTCATTAGAATCAACCGAATCAGCCAATTCCAGTGTTACCAAACGGGCTCTAAGTAGTAAATAGTAAAGTATGGTATTGTATTAACTTCAAAGCATTTGGAAGTCATGCTGATTGATGCTTATTTTTTATTTTATGATGCGGTAGATAAGCTCCATCCGTCCTTTGCTATTCTTTGCTTTTTTATTTTTAGTTTAATGTCTTTGCACATCCTATGATAATGGATCAGTAGAGTTTTTTTTTAAAGAATGGTAGGATGTCAGGATGTGAGAATGACATTGACATAAGCTTCAATGTATATCAATTTACGTTTCACACAACTTGCTTTCCTCAGAGAATGAAACCAAAATATCTTTATTTGTTTACTAATGGCTTTAATTATTTTTATTTTCTAAATATCCAGTGCAGTTACTCTGACGAAAATTAATTTTTTAATGAATCTTTTGTTTGTTTGATTTCAACAATCAGAATCGTAGTATTACCCATTATATTCACTATTGGAATCCATTAAACCATTTTTTTAAAGAAACCATGTTTATTCAAGTAGAAGCCCATAAATACTGGTGTATAATCACATTCTTCAGTTGAAAAAAATAAAATGCTTAATATTTGTCAATTGACTTTTATTCTCCCATTTCAATGTATCATAAGTATATCTCTCTAAACTATATGTGTGCCTGCAGATGTTTTCAATTTTTGTTTGACATGCTCCTCAACTTCTAAGTTGGCTTGTAGTTCTTATTTCTTTTGTTTATCTTCGTTCACAGGCAACTCTTGGTGATGATTTCTTAGCAGATTTGGATGAATTATCTGACAATGAAGCTGATATTCTTGTGAGTCAAGTGCCATATTTATTTAGCGTACAATTTGAACTGCATTGATTATTTTCATTTCTTGTTTCCCTCTTCCCATTGTCTCATTTTTTCTGTGGTGGTGAAAGTGAATATGGAGAGCTCTATTTACATTTTTATAAGAGCTTGATGATGCTGGGTAATAATTATTTGTTGTTTATTAGTGTGCATTCTTCTATCATTTGCAATGGAGCCAAAGATTCATTATTTTTGGCTTGAAAATATGATGGAATAAAGCAAAATGGCTCACTAAACTGTCTGCGCTTCTTTGTTATGAAGCAATTTTCACTATGGGTCATCCGGAAACAGTCTCTCTGTGCTTTAGTACAGGGGTAATACTGCGTACATCCGACCCCCCCCTTACCCCACCGTAGGTGGGAGCCTTTGCGGCACTGGGGTAAATGAAAATGAAATGAAAATGATGTTTATTAGTGTGCATACATAGTGATGTTGGGTCACTATGGGGTGATAAGTAATTCTCTTTCTGATTTTCATTAATTTTTCCTTGCAAAAGGATGACGCAAATGGGGAAGCTGAACACATGGATGAAGATGTTGATGGTGAGCTAGCCGATATAGAAACACTTAATTATGACGATCTGGATAGCGTCTCTAAATTGCAGAGGACGCAACGTTATATCAACATTATGCAGGTTAGAAGAAGTTGTTAAACATCAAATTTGATCCCTAAGTTTCTCACAAAAATATTTTAAATTTTTGGTCAGCACTAGGATATTATGTTGACATTTTTTGTATGCGATTCCCCTTTTCTTTTGTAATAACATTACCGAGAACCTATATTTTGTGAAATAACATTCCCTTTAATATGTTTTATGGTTTTACCCTTCTCTATCCATCAGACCATAATGTTACAATTTACTCTAAAACATTAATAGGGTTATCCTGGTCATATTACACTGCTTTACCTTGGCTTTATAAAATTTTATTGCCTTCATTTTTATGTACAGCAGCTAAGGTGACACTTAACAAAGAACAGAGGGAGTACATTTTAATATTGGTATGCTATTTATGTTTGCAGAAAGTAGAAGAAGCACTGGAAAAGGGTTCGGAAAATTCAGATAAAGGGACAATGGTTCTGGAAGATGATCCGGAGTACCAGCTTATTGTTGATTGTAATGCATTGTCGGTTGATATTGAGAATGAAATTATAATAATCCATAATTTCATACGTGATAAGTACCGTTTGAAATTCCCAGAGTTGGAGTCTCTGGTTCACCACCCGATTGACTATGCCCGGGTGGTTAAGAAAATTGGGAATGAGATGGACCTCACCCTTGTTGATCTTGAAGGGCTGTTGCCTTCAGCTATTATCATGGTGGTTTCAGTTACAGCATCAACTACAAATGGCAAGCCACTTCCTGAAGATGTCTTGCAAAAGACGTTAGAAGCATGTGATCGTGCGTTCACTCTGGATTTATCAAAGAAAAAAGTCCTTGATTTTGTGGAGAGCCGAATGGGTTATATTGCACCGAACCTCTCTGCTATTGTAGGAAGTGCTGTTGCTGCAAAACTCATGGGGATTGCCGGTGGGCTTTCTTCGTTAGCAAAGATGCCTGCTTGTAACGTGCAACTTCTTGGTGCTAAAAGGAAGAATCTTGCTGGGTTCTCCACGGCGGCGTCCCAATATCGAATTGGATATCTCGAGCAGACAGAAATCTTTCAGACCACTCCTCCGTCTCTTAAGATGCGTGCCTGCCGACTGTTGGCTGCGAAATCTACCCTTGCGGCACGTGTGGACTCAACAAGGGGAGATCCAACAGGGAAAACTGGACGATCTCTATTAGAAGAGATCCGTAAGAAGATTGAGAAATGGCAAGAGCCACCCCCTGCGAAGCAGCCTAAACCCCTTCCCGTTCCAGATTCCGAACCTAAAAAAAAAAGAGGTGGGCGCAGACTAAGAAAGATGAAAGAAAGGTAATGAGACCATCTCATGCAAATTATATCGGGTGACGGGCAGAACATTTGAATGTCTTCTATCGTCTGTGCTGTGAAATTTAATACTCCGTAGTAATTGTATTTAGGGTTACATTCGGCATCATCCTTCCCAATAATCCCAGAGGCTTCAGTAAATTACATATACACCCATGGACATGTCAATTATTCATGAAATGGCACAATGATAGATAAGATACAGTAAGCATGTTTTGATGTTTAGTGGTATCATTAATGACAAATTTGACTGTCCAAAGGGTTTATTGGTACATAAACTTTAAGGACTATTCTATTATTTGATCAGCTCACGTGGGAATAAAATGTAATCAACACATCATGTTTATAACTTTCACCAGGTATGCTGTTACAGACATGCGGAAGCTGGCGAACAGAATGCAGTTTGGTGTGCCTGAAGAGAGCTCATTGGGTAAGTAATGATATCTTCTCCCTTCGTCATCTGCATTTTCCCTTTGCTTTTCTTTGTCCTCTCCATAGTCACATAGTTCGCGGTACGCTTCGGTACAGGAACGAGGAACGGGAACGCGGTTCGCTAGATCTAGCGTATCCGATTCGTCAGAGGGGGGTAGGTTCATTCCGGTACACGTTTGGTACGATGTACCATATATTCGGTACGTTGTACCTAATATTTTGGTAGTATAATAAAACTGAATTATAGAATAGAGATTTCAACATTGAACAAAAACATACTACGTGTATTCATAACATTAAACAAAAGCAAATGACACTCCTTGAGTGTACCATATGTCTTTCACTTGGGTTAGATCCTTCTTAACATCCCTAATTCGTCGAGCAATGCCGTTCTTGCCTTGTCACTAGAAAGGGGTTTGTATCCATCCGGTGCCTTTTTGATAGAATTCACCATTTCAATGAACTAAGGGTTGCGTAACACATTGAATGGAATCCCATTTGCACACAAACCTCTAACGATCTTCAAGTCAACCACGTTTCTCTCTAATAGCCCGAGAGATTCTTCCAAGCGCTTCTTCGAGGATACATTTCTGGACAGTAGAGAATTCTTCAAAGATTTTGCAACTACGCCAGCTTCTGCCTCTTTCACTTTGTATCAAAGGCTTTCATATTTTTGCCTATCTTTAAGGACTACAGGACACCTTCTGATCTCACCTTCTGATCTCTGCCTTTTTCCCCGCAGGTTGCCCCAAAAAGTGAACATGAATTCGTGTATAAGAACTTGTATACTTTACTTTGCAGTGTTTGCAAATCCACTGTTTTGCACCACCTGAATCTTTACTTTCACCAGTGCTAACTTCTTAAGGCAATTGTTTGTTCGCATGACTTTCAGCAGTATCCTTAGCTTGTGTAGTAGATTGAGTTTGTTGAGTAACTTGCGTTTCTGGAATTTCTGTGTCACTATCTTCAACATTAAAGGTGGCTGGGGACTGTTGTGTAGATGTCGCAGCATAGGCAGACCCAAACACCATTTTGAATGACTATAAGAAAGACTCAAACGCAGCAGGTGGATGCGGACTGTGGTGTCTAAACTCTAAAGTCACAAACAAGAGTGGAGAGAATAAAGTCAACTGGAGGAGGGAAGACTGCTAAGAGTAGTTGGCGTATGAAGCAGATCATTTTGCCTCGATTTATAACTGTTATTAGAAGGTAAAATTGGTGAGTAGGATCAGAAAACTAAGAGTCTAGGAGCGTGGTTCTAAAATCAAAGTTCGTACGCCGAGTAAACATGGGAAACAAACCAGAAAGTAAGAGTCGCAGACCTGTTTGAACTGTGAAATCTGGGAAACGAAGATTCAAATCTGGATGACGGGAAATGGCGTTTTCAAGCTGCGCGACTACTGGGAACGGCAAATACAAACTCTGCGAACATTGTTTGGGGTCGATTTGAAGATCGATTGAGATCTGCTATGAACAGCGACTGGGAATGACGCGAAGAACGTACCGCATAGTATACCGACTAGCGACCGGATCGTTTTCGTACCGTGATTGGGTATGGAACGATTGGTGCGCAGATTGCGCTTTCTGTAGCAGTTTATGTATCTATGGTCCTCTCATCTTTCATTGTCCCAAAAGTCCCTCTGAATGATGGGTCAAAAGTGGGGATTGAGAATGAGAATCTATTGTTAGCAGCTTTTTAGAATTTCAACCCTTTCAGATTGAGGATTCTGTAATGATTTTGTGTTACAATAGATTTTCCATGTACTGTTTTTACCACTCACTTGGTCTTGATTGGTTATCTTTATGGAATATATAGGGGATGGTTTGGGTGAGGGATATGGAATGCTTGGTCAGGCAGGAAGTGGTAAATTACGTGTATCACTTGGTAGGAGCAAGCTTGCTGCCAAAGTAACAAAGAAGTATGTCAAGTTCATTGTCCCTCTACGTGTATGGATGGAAAGACTTTGATGCTGCTGCTCCCCCACGACATCTTCTTGGGAATAAAATCACTGTCCATTCATTTCTCACACAAGTCGATATGATGGAATTACCCCGTGACACTTCCCATTTTTAGGAAGGAGGCGGGTCAGCAGCAGCATGAAGAATTTTCTGTGTGTGATTAATTCTATCTGCTTAGCTAATGAGTATGTCTCGTGATTGAATATCTGTTCAGATTTAAGGATAGGAGTTATGGAAGCAGTGGTGCTACATCAGGACTGACATCAAGTTTAAGCTTCACCCCTGTACAGGTATGATGATACTGTTGGCTCTAGTTGACGTCGATGGATGTGTAGTTGTTCGAACCTGTTTTCAGTTATCTGCAGTTTGATGCAAACTGGGGTTGTTTTCTTTCTCTTTCAGGGGATTGAACTTTCAAACCCACAAGCATATGCACACCAGCTAGGCTCAGGAACTCAGAGTACGTACTTTTCAGAAACTGGGACATTTTCCAAGATCAAGAGAACATAAATAAATCCAAGTCCTGAGGATGATTGATTGTCATCTTAAATGAATATCATGTGTTGATATTCTCTGCCTGGCCTGGAGCCCGTGCTTGTCATCAATCCTCTTAAATGATAGCCCGATTTTTGTTTGCTTTTGTTTGATGTTTTATCTCTAGTTTTATCGGAGTATGTAAATCTTGAAATTGGATTAACGAGAATACCTACACTTTTCAGCTTTGGTTTACTTTTTCATTATCTGTAATCTCTTATTAATGAGGTTTTTTGAAAAATATTAGTGAAATGAAACTTATTTACAAAAATATGACTTACTACTTACTATAGTATATTCTTTAAGTCCCTGAAGTGTAAAAATTGAATGTAAACCATGATTAAGTTACTACTATAGTCACTATATTTAGGAATATATTGCTTGTAATCATATGTAGGAATATTAGGAATATATTGTTTGTAATCATATTCTGGAAAACTTAATTATTTGAGTATCACTATTGATGAGTAATTTTAAGTTTTGAGATTATTAAAATTTATTAGATGAATGTATGACAATAACATGTAAGCGAAAAACGTACTGGTGTTATGAGTCCAGTCCATGTTTGCAATATTTTATATTGCTTTTGTTTATGTTTGAGCTGTTATGATGATCTTTTACATCCTATTTCTTTTTGCTATAAAACATTTGGTTTGGAGGTGATTTGAAGATTGATTCACGCATGCGCTCGCGTGCACACAAAAAACATAAAACTGGAGGTGATTTCCGATTTTCACAGTTTAGTGCACAACTTCAATCAGCTCTATGGTCATAGGTGTTCGTTCCTGTGGTTCGGATTTTGTTGAAATTTGGACTGCGTGTACATGACTTGAGGAGCTTCATTTTGAATAGTTGGATTGTTCCATTGAGCTTTGGTTTGGTCAGAAATTCTGATCGAATAGATCTGCAGTTTTGTGTGATTTCTACACTTTATTGTGCTATCTTGATCTCTTATTATTCTTAGTGATTGTTGATGGGTTGTGAATTCTTTGTAGATTATTATTCTTAGAGCTGGTTACCCAAATAATCCACTTCATCTCCCAGCTCAGGATTCCTGGTCAGTCAAATTTTGAGGAAAAAAGACGATTTGGAGATATCACGATTTCGATAGAAATTAACAGAGCAGGCTACTATGTCAAATTGGCTAAACGCAAAGGGGGGTCCATTGAGATACCCATGGGACCGAATCGTTCCAGCCATTGTTCTAAAAATCGGCCTAGGCGGACCGATTAATCGGCCTAGTCGGCCCTAACCGTAGAGGCCGAATCGGCCTAGTCGGCCAAAAAATCGGCCTAGTCGGCCAAAAAAATCGGTCTAATCGGCCGCCTAGGCGCTAGGCGCCCCTCCATCGCCCGACTAGCGCCTAGCGAGTTTTAGAACAATGGTTCCAGCCTATTAAAATTCCTTCATATTTTTTCTAATTTTGTAGGGCTCTCAAAGTCAGTGCAGGATGACTCAATTTCCCTTCAAGATAGAAGCAAGTTAGAATCCGAGGACCCTACATCCATCTCTAAACTGATTTTCGATCAACAAATACAGTCCATAGCTACCAATAAGGAGCAAAACTTCTCTTCTGGCAAATAACTCCAGTTGCTACCGATCGAGGCTTACTCATGTGCCTTTGATGATTTTGATCATTCGGACGACTCCATCTTCACTGACGACTTCTTGGGACATGCAAGTGAAAGCGATCGTCGTCCTCCTATTTCATACCCTCAAGAAATTAAGAAGTCCAAATTCAATAAGGAAATCTGCCGCAAAGCCAATTTCATAACTTCGGAAAACTGTCTACCAACGGAGAATCTGAACACACAACTCAAAATTTACAGAAAAACCCAGAAGAACAAAAGACGCCATAGCATGAGGACAAGGTCTCAATCCAGAGACTTCCCGTGGGATTAGTTATTTTTATTTTATTTTCCTTTTCTAGTTTCTTTGTATTTCCTTTTCTATTGCTTCCCCCCCCCCCCCCCCCCCCCCCCCCCGTTTTTAGCGCATTGTACTCTTTTTTTTCTTTTATCAATAAAATTCCTCTTTTCGCAAAAAAAAAAAAAATTGGGGTTCTCTCATCCTCATTTATCAATACGAGAAGTAAGGGTGAACTCCTCAAATGAGCCTGTGGTTTTTCATCCTTCACAATGAAGGGGTTTCCATGTGAAAAATCGTGTGCACTCCTTGTGTTTTATTTTCGCTCGTTTCACAATATTGTTGATTATATGGTTGTGTGGCAATTTGTGTTGATTAACATGTTTATTAGTTGATTGTCTTGAGTGTATGACATTGTGAATATGATAGAGACCCTTTGTTCGTTACAACTTGGCATCAGAGTTGAAGTTTAACTTCTCACATTATGGAGTCGGGTAGTAGCAATTAAATGATAAAATTGACTTCAACTAATTATTCTATTTGGAGATCTATGATGGAAGATGTTATATTACAAGGACTTGTATGATCCAATTGAAAGTGTCAATAATTGTGATGGTAATGTCTCTAAAACATCCAAATCGGAGAAAATGAAAGAGAAAGAAAGGGTATAGTTGAAAAGAAAAGCTTTAGGGACTATCAGAGTATCAGGCAACGATTTGATATCAACATTTTCAATCATGTGTTACAAAAGTCTGACTCATACGATCTGTGGATGAATTTGAATGGTCTTTATGAATGAAAGACGGTTCATAATAAAGCTTCTTTGATTAAAAAACTTGTTAATTTAAAAATTAAAACTGCGAAGTCCATTTTCAAGCATCTTACTGACTTTCAAGATATTATTAACAAGTTGACTATCATGAAAATTTGTCTTAATGATGAATTGCAGGTTTTATTTCTATTGAGTTCTTTGCCAGCTAGGTGGGAAACCTTAATTGTGATTGTTAGTAATTGTGCTTCGGACGATGTGTTATCTTCAGATGTCTTTAAAGAAAGCATGTTTATTGAGGAAATCAGAAGAAAGGAGATGAGAGTTGTTAACTCACATGCTCTTGTTGTTGAGAACAGAGAAAGAAGCAGAAATGCGGCCCCAAAGGCCACAATAACTCAGGTTGCAGGTCCAAGTCCAATGATGCAAACCTCGTCATACGAAGAAGTATTGTTTTCATTTGAAAAGGGAACAAAGTAAGAAAAATGATACACATAAAGAGGGAGATGACAAAAACAATGTACCAACAGTTTCTAAGAGTGATGATGATGTTACTTTGATTTGTTCAACTCAGTATCATCATGTTGATAGTTCAGACTCAGAGTGACTTGAAGATACAAGTGATGTATATCATCGTGTTCCCAGAAGGGAGTACTTCGATCATGAACTATCAAGCTGATGATTTTGTTAGAATTAAAATGGGTAACCAAAGCTTAGCAAGCATTGGTGGGCTAGGTGCATGTATTCGTGTGAAGACTAGTGTTGAATGTATACTTACATTAAAAGGTGTGTGCCATATTCCTAATCTATGCCTTAATTTGCTATCTGCTAATGTGCTTGATCAAGAAAGTTTCAAACACACCTTTGGATATGGTAAGTTGGAATTGTTTAAGAATCTTATCAAGTTGCATGCGACAAGTAGTGTTTCTCTTTGTGTGTATGTTGTGGCAAACTTGATGCAGTGGAAGAGAAGAACTAACCTAATTTGTGGCACATGAGTGACAAGAGTTTGAAATGTCTAGCAGGTAAATCTCTTACTCCTATTGATATTGTAGTTGCTCTTGACCCTTGTGATCATTGTTTGGTAGGTGAGCATCATAGAACTTCTTTTTCCAGGAAGTCTACTAAGAGGCAAGCTAAGTTAGAGCTTATACACTCCGATGATTGTGGTCCAATTGAGGTGGAGATTAATGGTGGCAACAAATACTTTGTCACTTTATAGTGGTTCAAGGAACAACTCGTTTCTTTAGTCCACTATTTTACTAAGCTTGTAAAACATCAGATTACACAACCTTAGTCCTGGCACTTAAGAAGCACTCCACTCTTCTTCAAGGCCAGATGTCACCCGTGATGCTCTTCCTAGCTTCCTTGTGACTGATCTCGTTTCACTGAGCTTCCTTGAAGTATCCGCACTTCACTAGTCCAGTTACTTTGAGATGCTCTTCTTAAACAAGAAGATCTTTTGAGAGCAAAAGGTTTTCTCCAACGTGCTTCAAAGAAGATATGTAGATGAAGTTCTTGAAGTGTTGAAGTACTGGAGGAACTTTCTATTTGTTGGGTGTTGAAGAATATGAAAAATATTGTCTTCCCAACGTCAAGCTTGTTCTCGTATGGAGGATGAGAAATATGAGTTCTTGAGAGTGTTTGATAGCTTGAATTCAAAAGAATGTGTAGAAAGTTAACCGACCAGCAGCTTCAAGGTGTATCATATATACTGAGAGATGTCTTCCCGTTGGAGTGTAGAAAACATCTTCATTGAATGTTTGTACTGTTGATTTGACCGGTTGGTTCCAAAAGTAGACGACTTGCTATTTTGGGGTGTGGTAAATATTATTCGCCCGGATCCTTGGTCAATCACCAGCTTTAAATATCTCAACGTGTGAAGCTCATTAAATAAGCATTAAATGCGCGTCCTGTAGCTTTTCCGTTGAGAGGCTCCTAGCCGTTAGGGAATTTTCCGTTAGTTTAACAGCTTAGGTAGCTTGGGATGATTTCTCTAAGTGTGAGGATTTCTGGTGGATCTTCTGAGTTGTAGTAAAGTCCACGAACACAAGAGTTGTTCTGTCCAGCAATAGTACCAGAAGACCTAGGGTCTTCTGTTCTGTCAATTACTCTAGTACTTGCACTTGGACATTTCTAATACAATTTTCTAAAGGGGTACTGCTCTAATCTCCTAATTAGTCTAACATCATCAAAATCTAAACACAATTTATTCCTTACACATATTATGAACCATGTAGTGGTATGTGAATTATCAAGATAGTTTTTGTCACTTTCGTATACCGAGAGAAAAATATCTATTGGGCCCTTTTACAAGTAAGATCTATCAGCACGACCATGCTCAAATGAAGTGTCACTCATTCCAGCTTAGTCTTACTTGGTAATTAAGAAATATTAATTGAGAATAACAAAGATGACACAACCTAATTGAACATATTCGAATTTGTGTTACAAGGCTATTGTTCCGACTTCATTTACAATGCATTAAGTTAAAGGTGCATATTAACCTTGTCTTGATTAAGATATCGTGTGTCTTAATTTAATTGACATTTATATATCTTGGATGGTCATAATGTCTTGCTAGAGACCACTTATGACTTGTGAGGCTCGAAATAATTTTCTAGCCGACCGCCAA